CTTTCATCTCGTTCCCCTTCCCTTCAATTTTTCCGATCCGAACTAAGGGTAAATCTTTACTTTCCTTCCCTTTCCTTTTATCCACTTTGTTAATTTTTATCTAAACATATTTTATTCTTTTAATTAAGCACAGGAAAATACCAGTGGACACAACAATATGGAAGGGACCCAAAATATCAGAGAAAAATAAAATGCAAAAATAATATTTAAATATGTGTACGTGAAAGAGAGAGAAGCCTTTTTGCTTTTTATCTGTGTGTAACGTAGTATATAACCCAGCTTTTTCCAGCAAATACCCAGTTGCCGTTTTCTCCATGTTTATGCCCCCCATTTCTCTCCACGCCCATGTGACTTGGTCCTCTTCCCTCTCTCTCTCTCTCCCCCTCTCCATTCCATTCTCCTTCACTTCTCCATTGTATCTTTCAGTTTTTTCTTTTAAATATTAGTTCTTTGGCCATTCTAGAGATGGACTTAATGCAGACCCTGACAGTCAAGCAAATCTAAGTCCTTTCTCTCTCTATCCAGCTGTATATACAAATTTTGGGCTTCAAAAACCAGACACCCAGATCGAATTGGAGCGTTAAAGACCTGATTTTGAAACATTTGGGAGATGGGCTTTTGAGTTCATCATCGATTGACTGAGGTAGGGGTGTCTTCTCTGTTTCTCAAGTTTGTGCTGTTGTTTCATTCTTTTTGGTACTAATAGAGAGATTTCAAAGGAAGAATAAGAAAGTTTGTATCTTTTTGGTTATAATGAGGGATTTTCCTTCCTGTTTTGGTGAGAGTGGTGTTCAAGTTGCTGATTCTTCTTCATCAAGTACTGCTAAGGCTGCTCAAAATTTGGTTACCTGTGTCTATCAGTGTAAATTTCATGGTAGATCATGCTTGATTACGGTTACATGGACCAAGAGTCTCATGGGTCAAGGCCTTTGTGTTGCAATTGATGATTTGGCCAATCAGTGTTTGTGCAAAGTTGATATAAAACCATGGTTGTTCTCAAAGAGAAAAGGGTCAAAGAATTTGGAGGTAGATTCAAGTAAGGTTGATATATATTGGGATCTATCTAATGCTAGATTTGGTTCTGGGCCGGAGCCACTGGATGGATTTTATCTGGCTGTTGCATTTGACCAAGAAACGGTGCTACTTCTGGGGGATTTGAAAAGGGAGGCATGCAAGAAGGTTGATTCTGCTCCTGTCAATTCCAATGCCATTTTCATTGCAAAAAGGGAGCACATTTTTGGGAAGAAATTGTATGGTGTCAAGGCTCAATTTTGTGACAAGGGACAGATGCATGATGTTACAATTGAGTGTGACACATTTGATGCTAAAGATCCATGCCTTATTATCCGAATTGATAGTAAGACAGTGCTGCAGGTCAAGCGGCTCAAGTGGAAGTTCCGCGGTAACCACACCATTTTGGTGGATGGGCTTCCTGTGGAAGTGTTTTGGGATGTGCACAACTGGCTATTTGGTAATGCAAATGGGAATGCAGTTTTCATGTTCCAAACTTGCCTATCTGCAGAAAAATTGTGGGCTAGTCAATCTATTTTTGATCCATCTGTCTTGACATGGTCTTACTCTCAGAAATTTAGGGATCATCAGTTACAAGGTCTTGGTTTCTCACTGATACTGTATGCTTGGAAGAACGAATAGATTTGTATTTTTCAGTTTTTACTTGAGAGAGTTTAGAAATACTTTGTGCTATATATTTTCAGTTTTTCACAGAATGTGATTGAAATACAGTGTATGCAATTTGTAAGTTCCTATCCATTCATTTCTTGTCAGTTGTAGGGTAGCTTATTATCTTGTGTATCTGCATCAACCAATATGTCTTGCTTGCTTTTATTGCATTAACATGGCCTTCAGTCCATTTTCCTACAAAAATTGAGTATAGTAGGGGTTCCCAGAATTCAGTTGGAATTGCAGATCTACAAACATAAAATATGAAGTAATGTGGTAAGACCCTGCTCTATCACTCTTGTCCATTCAGTGAATCACAGCAAGAAGTGTGACTTTTGTTTTTAAAAAATTTAGATGTGATGCACTAATTGTTGTTTGCAGGCTTATGAATTTCAGAAATGAGGGCCATGAGCCATACTCGTGCAGATGCAGATTGACAAATTTTCAGAAACTAAATTATGAGAGCCAAGAAGCAGGTATATGCTGGATGTTTACTTTTGAAAAATATTGGGTCTTATTTTAAGCATTTATGTTTTTTAGGTGATCTTGTCTCCTGTGACATGAGATTTCTGATTGGGGTTCTTTTCTTGGTAGAAGAGAATGCAAGTTGTTGTGGTACCTCTAATTATCAGGACATAAAATTCTGATAGAGGTCTCATAGCAAGAAGCTTAAAAGAAAGTTAAACAAATTCTACTCTAGGATTTTAGGTTCTGTCTTTATGGTTGGTAGACTTTTATTAGGCTCTTAGGAAATTGCATTGTTCTTGACTAAGATCACCTAACAATATTGAATGCATAAAATGACCATAGAGTAGATGCCTGACATAAATGCATAAACATTTTTTATGCTTTCTTATAGAAACATACACAGGCTTTTCTTGACTTCTACAAAGCGGGAAAAACGAATGATCTCATCTGCATAGCCTAATCCTTTCCAGCGTCCATTCTTTCCCAGGCAGTCAGGTCGAAAGGCTAATCCATAGAGTAGATGCCTTGGTGTCAAAATGTAGCATGCTTTTACTAAAGTTGCACCTGCACCAAATACTCTAGAATTAATATCTTAACAACTTGAAGAAACATCTTAACACCAAATGAAGTCAGTCCCAGAAAGAGTTCAAGTAAAAAAACCTGAGAAAAACTTGGGGATGGTATCTGCAGATGTTTGCTATAACTTGTGTATGAGAGGTGGCTGGTTGATGCATTTGTTGTTCAGTTGTTATATCATGTATCCATAATGCAGAAATTCAGAAAAATAACCTGACAGAAATTTAAGTGCAAGGGGGCATGAAAATTTTGAAGTTTTGACCTTCAACATAAAAGGTTTTATTTTAGTCAATAACTTAAATAATTTAGTAGTTATCTCTTTTCGCTGGAAGTAAAAGGTCTTGAATTTGAATCGCATGATATACGGATGAGATGGGATAAGGGATGAGAGATGGTTGTCTCCTATTGTGCAACCAAGATAAAAAAAAAAAAAAGTTTTATTTTACCTGCAAAGAAAGGGATGGTCATTGAAGAAAACAGGTGGAGATATGGACACTGGATGGGAAATTTCTGGGATTTGTTATCCTTATCCTTTCATCAACTTAAAATTGTGCAATATTTGCAATAAAAAAAAAAATTGTGCAATTAAGTAACCTTGTTCCAGGTCAAGATCTCTAAGCTGTGTTTGTAGACTATCCAATGTCATGCAGGTAAGGCCTCTTAACTCCCAACTTGTTTTGACCTTACTCGGGAAAAGATTTTTTTAATTAATTAAATTATAATATCTTTAAAATGTTATAATTTAATTAATTAAAAACCTCTTCACTTCACTTTTCTTCATTATCCTTAATCTAAACATTTCCTCTATTTCTTTTAATCTAAACCTATCATAATTGGCGAACCCATTTAAGTCAAACCATGCGATTCATTATTTATATTGATTTAACTTCAATTTAATTCAACTCGACCTAAAAATTTGCCAAATCTGTGGGTTTTGGGTGCTAAATTGGCAAATATTATTGATTCAACTCCAATTTAACCTAACTTGGCTTAGAAATTTGCCAAATCAGTGGGTTTTGGATGCTAACTCGGGCAATTCTATTTTAATATTTTTTCATAGATTACAAAATTTATGATTTACTCTTTTTTTTTTTTCGTTATGATTTATAATTATAAATACAATTACAAAACCAAAAAATATGTGAAAAAATAAGAACAAAAACTAAAAGGAAGTACCTGTTTCAAAACGATCCGTTTTGATTTCCGCGACATCAACAAAAATTGCCGGTTGCGTGGGACTTCCCACTGCTGGGCTTAGATTTTTTGGCTCAACAAAATTATGGAAACTCTATCGTCTCTCTTCCCTCTCCCACTCTCCGTTGCAGTGAGACCCCATCACTCTCCTCCCAAACTCTGTCTTCCTATCCCCATTTCCGTCCCTACCTTGTTTCAATGCACCCTCAAAGGAGCCAAAATTCGCCGGAAAACGGTGGTTTCTGTGGGGAATCCAAGTGATCCGAGACAGGACGAGTCCCGTTTCATGGATGAAAATGGTGTCATTGAAGATATGGATGGTTATCTGAATCACTTGTCTCTTGAGTACGATTCTGTTTGGGACACAAAGCCATCTTGGTGAGTTTTTCCATCTCTAGAATTTTATCTTTTAGAATTTCATCAATGCCCTATACGGCCACTTATCTTGAATTCATTTGTAAAATTCTCTAATTTTAATTGAATGTTTGGAGCTAGCGTGACTCTCTGTTTCAAAAGTTGTAATTTTTTCATGGGGTTTCTGAATTCTGATTGAATTGTTGAGTAGTATGAATGAGGCATGTTGGTCTTTGTGTTACTAAGGTGCTCTGAGATTGCTTTTACATTAGCCACAGCTGCTGACTCTTTCCATTAGCAGAAGCAGACCCATGTTCATGACACAGTGTGCTACAGTTTCTGTCAAGTGAAAATATGTAGAAAATTAGTTCTAATTTCCTCACTGTTTAAACAACAAAATGGGTACTAATAAAAATTTCTCATGACATGCCAGGCCCTACAACTTCTATAAGTGTGTTTAAATTGATCGATAGATAGAGTTTTTCATGTTATTTCTTGTGCCATTATTTATCCTCTCATGACTGAATTGATACTAGAATATTAGAGCAAGAAAAAAAAAAAAATTTCCTGTTTTTTTGAAGGGAGAGGGGCCGAGGCCTTCCCCCCACTTCCCTTTACTTCTATTCTTGCTAACAATGCTATCATTTGTGTTCCATACTTCCATAGTTCATAGCTAACATGTTTTAGGCTCCAAATGGACTTTTGTGTGACAATCAGTTGGATAGGGCTCTATTCATAAGTTTTAGTTTTGTATTAGGTGATCTGTGTTTAGGGTAGGCATACAGCATACTGCTCTATTTTATAGTCTAAATTACGGTTGACTTCCATAACCAGTTTCGATTTTAACATACGCCTCTCATGATTCTTGTTTTAGCTTATGATTTGATCTCTTGTTATATTGGTAGGTGTCAACCATGGACAATTACGCTTACTGGCATATCAGTGATTGCCTCGAGCTGGCTAATTTTGCAGTCAATCTGGGTCACAGCTTTTGTTAGTCTTGTGATATGCACCTGGTGGTACATCTTTCTGTATTCTTATCCTAAGGTACTTTTTCTAATTTTTAAAGTAGTTTTGTCATCATACTCAATTTTAAACGTTTGAAAGGGATTGAAAAGCATGAAAATAGTTGGGATGACAAAATCTTGAAATGATTTACAGAAATCAGCATTTTATGCTTCAACTCTGCATGGAATTGCTGAAAGTGGATGTATCTACCTTTCTTACAAAATATTGCTTATTGTTAAGGGAAATATAAGAAAACCAAGAGAATTCGCATTTTAATTTTCATTTTTACTTTGCCAGGCTTATGTTGAGATGATAGCGGAGCGAAGGAAGAAAGTCTTGAACGGTGTTGAAGACACATTTGGTTTGAAGAAGAGTCAATGATTTAATTCACACATTAGAAGCTCCAATCTCCTTATGTTTGTAAGATCATTCTAATGGTGGTCAGCGTCGATGCATGTAGATTTTCACAGCTTAACTTAAGAGTGGAAGCTGATGATTTAGTATATAAAACTATTTTTTTTCCCACCATTTTCCTGGATGCATGAGCAATCTAACCGATTATAATGTCTGTTACAGAGCAGGATACCCCCTTCTTTCCAATATCAAAACAAGTGTTTTACTGTTGAGTACATTTTATAATGTGTTATACAGACAGATAGCCTTCCCTTTCCCAGACGTTTTTAATCCAGAGAACAATCTGAAACAACTGAGTAAACACGATATCAGATCTCTCACAAATGATGGGGGTTTAGCATTTACATGTTTGACTTGGGGAGACAAAAAGAAAAGAGTGATTACAAACTTTCTTATGACTGCTAATAAGTTCTCAGATTGTCATCTGTTCACTGAGCCCAAATCCTAATAGTTCTATCACCGTCAAGACCTGCAGAAGCAATTTTGTTCTCCAAAGGATGGCATGTTACAGAAATAACCGTGTCAGTATGACCTTCGAGTCTCTGCATCAAGGTTTTTTGCTGGAGATCCCATATGTACACACACTTGTCCTCCGATCCACTTACAATGTATTTCCCATTGGTAACGGAGAATGTAGATGTTATACAGTATACTTTGTTTGTGTGACCTTGATACATTTTCAAGAACTTCCCAGTAGCATAATTCCACAGCTTCTACACTCACAAGATCAAGATCAAGGGGAAGGTAAATAAAACCGCAAATTAATCATTTGATTGATAGCTAAAAATGGAAGTAAAAGAAACAAACAAACATTTTAGTATTATAGTTTCCACTGTTCAAAACCAGGTCTAAAGAAGGGAAACAATTTTGAGACAACCTTTTTGTACCACTTTTTTATACAACCTGACGTGTCATTTAAATAATTGATTTTTTTTATTCACATGAGACCTGTGATATTGAATGCATCCCTACTCATTTAATGACTAGTGAAAGTTGTATCAAAAGATGATATAAAAAAATTGTTCTTATAGCACCACCCTATAAAGAAACTAGTGATACGTTAAGCATTCTAAACACAATTGAAATCTTAACTTCTTTCCAAACCAATTCCCATTACTTGCAGCCAAGACAAAAGGCGCAGGGACATCATAGACCAATCAGAGTAGTGGATCAAATTCACAAAGTCATCAGATACTGATATTTCTTATTGATTACCATCATAAGAACGTTACACCAAACTATTTCGTTAAGGGTTTCTTCATACAACTCGGCTACAATTCACTAATACTAAATCCCCAAAGCTGGTTGTCAAAAAATGAAAAAGTACAATGTTTAACCTATGTTGATTCTAAGAAACAAAGTGAGCAAATGATCATCACAACAATCTGAGACACTTAAAACTTTCTTCCCTAAACAAAATCAGACACACTATTTTTATAGTCAAATCCAACATATACTGAAACTAGATAAACATTGAAGAACAACAATCTCAAAAATCAAAACTGAGTTTAAATTCAAGCATGAACATAAAAGATCTTCACTATCAGTATTGAGAAATATTAGATAGAGCAGGGAAGGTTCGAACTTACAATAGTGCTATCCAGAGTGGCAACAAGTATGAATTTTCCATTGGGCGAGAACTTAACAAAGGATACCGCAGGATCTTTATCATTAATTAAGGTCTTCAAGCACGCTCCTTCATTAGCGTCCCATATCTTGCAAGTCCCATCGTGACTCCCAGACACGATCAGGGATCCGTCCCTGTTGAAATACACCGATGTGACCGGCATGTCGTGAGCTTTGATCGTCCTCAGGCACCTCCCAGTCTTCACCTCCCAAATGCGAATAGTTTCATCAAAAGAACCCGAAACTATGAGATTCGACTGCGGATTAAAGTTGACGCAGAAGACGAAATCGGAATGGCCTCTTAGGACCTTGAGACACTCGAAGGGGGAGCGGGCGTCCCAGATGCGGAGAGTACAGTCGTCGGAGGCGGAGCAGATATAATGAGAATCCGACGACCAGGCTAGGTCCGAAATGCCGTCGGAATGGCCAGCCAGGCGGTGGACGAGTGAAAAATTGGAAGCCGACCAGATGATTAGGGTTTTGTCGAGTGATGCGGAAGCTAGAAGAGTCCCATCATTTGAAAATTTGACACAAGAGACGGCACGTTCGTGAGCGGCTAGGGTTTTGAGGTGGCGGTAACCTCTGTATGGTGGCAGTTGTTGCTGGGAGGCGGCGCCGGTTGCCATGGGGATGCAGGGGAAGGGGGCTGCCGTTCGTTGGTTTTGTTTGATATAATTATTGTCGTCTAAATCTAATGGTGGCGGTTTATCAAAAACAGTAGCGCTTTAGAGTCTTGATTAGACTTGAAAAAAAAAAAAAAGGAAAAAAAAGTAGTGCTCGATCTAACTTGGGTTGATGGTTTTAGCTTTTAAGTAAGCCCATCTTATTTACTAACCCTTGGGATACAACCTAATCTAAAATAGCGGGCTTTATGTGTATGGGCTTCATTTTCTATTTTCCTGATGAGATTTGGGCTTCATATATATGACTTGCTATGCAAAATGTCATTCGAGACAAGTAAAGGCAATCTATGGAAGGAATTCTTAATAGGAAATTGCTATATATATATATAT